GTGTAAACGAATCTTTCAATGTTTCCTGAAAGCAACACTTTCCCATCATAAAAATGTTTTGTATGTGACTGTTGTCTTAGATGTTCCCTTTTTTCTTCTAATAGGCTAATTTAGCCATTCCAACCAAATGATTAATCTTGTATTGCTTACAAATTCTTTGTAAAAAACTATTAGTTCTCATCGTGATCTCGATCTCCAATCAAATTGTAACCTAGCATCTCCCAATAATCAGCCTTTAAGAGGCGCTATTATCATATGTCAAGGAGCTCCTCACTTGGCTCATCTTAACTCTGCCTCATTTCTTTTCGACTGGTATATTATTCATCGTATTTTAATAATAAAAAATCTTAAGAAATCCTTTATTTATAACGTTGAAAGGAAATCCCATTCCACTACATCAAATCCAAAATTCCGAACCAATTCAAACCAACCAAACTCGAGACAATCCCAAAAATCCGCAACATGCGAGCCAATTTATGAACAATATCACATTTGTGTAGGTAGCTCAAAACGAAATTAGAGCAGGCATGCTCCATCAGTCATGTTAATGTGTAACGTACTACAATACACAAAGTACCGCAAGTCCGATGAACTAATTGCAGAATGTCATTCTCGACTTGCAGGAAAAAAACAAAATTGAAAGAAAAACAATTATATTATCAAAAAAAAAAAAACGATTCCAAATGAAACTGGTTTTGTCTCTTCAAACTCAATTTCTAGTTTCACAAAACATTCCTAAAACCAAAACATGTCATGAGCATTCTTGCAAAATAAACTGTATCAACGCATTGAATCAGGAGATAAGATTCAAATTTACAAGCCTGACTCATCGAGGCGATAACATTTTCTTCTTCAGTGTTTTTTTATCCTCCATTCCTGATAGTTTCCAAACATTAAGCTAGCAGATTATAAAAAGATTACCTGATTTACCCCCAAGCATTTAAGGAAAGTGATTCCGCACTATCACTGCTGAAGCTTGTCATATTTCGACGAATATATCCAAGATAAATCGATGGTGTTTGCAACATAGTTCACTTTCTAAGCCGAAGAAAGGCTAACAGGACGAAGATAACCACAAAATTTGCATCGATACCAGACACATTAAAAGGAGTAGAAAAAGAGAGTTCAAAAACAAGATAAGGACAGTAGATGAGCCGCCAACTTCTTACATCGAAAGCGAGTGGAATGTTCCATTGGCCCGAGTTTTTCAAGTTGTCATAATGGGCATAATTCAAGAGAATGTGATAAGGAACTTAATTCCTAAAACTTAATCCTTAAAGTAACTTCACGTATCCAACGAAATTTGGAAACAATCTAACTTCTATTACATTTGTATAATAACCCATCTATAAACTACCCGAAAAACAATCATAGATAGATATAAAATATGCCTATTATTAAACTGTGGAACAATCCAGACTTCTTGTACCAATAGACTCAGCAAACGTATTTGAAATTTAAAGATTTCGAGTATTTCATATTAATTCATTCTCCATAGACTGTAATTTCATACACTTTTCAATGAAATGTTCTGAAACGAATGTGAAAGATAAGTTACAGATTATATGAATAATTTATTAGTCACTGGCTACTGCGATTATCAAAATGATTTGAAATAATAAATGAATTCTGAAATAATCAACCAAAACAGAGTGTGTACAAGCATAGAAGGTAAGTTATATGAAACTAGAATATACCAAACATTATTAATGATATAAACTTCGTTCCTCATTTTCATATTTTCCGACATCGTCTAGCCGACGAATTTCCCAATCCAAGCCATAAAAGTTCCTAAGCTAAAATTCCTGATTTTTGTTAAATAATGTAAGGCATGATATGGAAAAGAATGTTTCCTTACTTTTAATTTTTTTAAATCAGCAAAATGATTAGAAGTTTGAATATTATAAATCTGAAAAACCTAAATTGAGCAACAGAATATGCACTCTAAGCTATGAAATGTTTGAGCAGCTTTATCAATACTCGTTCTCATAAATCAATAACCATAAAAATATCATTTTCTTGTATAAACGCAAAAGCGTGCTTAGTATGTAAGACATTTCCTTCCAGATTTCAGTAAGTTACAGATGGTTAATAATTCAAAAATCAGGAATAATCCTTCAAAAATTTATCCCTTTCTTTTATAACAAAGCCTAAATTAAGTGATGCAAGCAAGCAAGTTCTGGTTTATAGAACAAACGTAGCAAAGAATGTTTAAGATGGTTAGAAAGAAGAGGAAATGAAGCTATAATCTACAACATCAGATACGATTAAGTAGGCAACCATAAAAATGTTATGACCTGTAAAATTAGTCTTCTTCACTGTCCGCTTTTCTTTTGATCTCTTCCAAGAAATTGTCGAAAATCTTTTGATTGCTTTCAAACTGTGCTAACTAAAAGCAATACAGTTTGCATACAGTTGCAATAAAGACTCTAGAAGCATTCTTGAAGATTTTTCAAATGAAAACAACTGACGTCAATCAATTATATCATCAAGACTACGGAATTTGTCCGTACATTGCCTCTCTCCCAAGAACGTGACTGTATCATGAAGATCGCAAAATCTGTATGCAGAAAAAAGTTTCATTTGCAATGCCAGCTTTCAAGCTGTTCGATTAAACTCTTCGGTAATTTGAACTTTGAATCTTTAGCTCATGGATACCGGTCTTCGTCGGTTAATACATTATAGCTTTTTCTGAGACATACATCTACCTATACTTTAGCATTAATTTATCGATGTTATTTCGGATCTCAATGAAATTGTGAAAAAATTTTATAAAATACAACGAAACAGCGCTATCTCTCTTCTTCTCTATCCTTCTATTTTCAAAAGACTTACCAATTCAGGAATTACAGACGTGCTGTCAATTTGAAATGAAAGATGAGTTGGAGCCGACCTACACTGTTTCATGAACTCGCCTAAACCATCTGCCAAACTTTCACTGCTTCCAAATGCCACCTGAAACAGAACTGCATATAAGACTAATAGACGAAACGCAATTTCATTTTATGCTTTCTAGTTAGAAAAGAGTTTTGATTACAAATAGTGTGACAAATTAAAAGACAGTCCAGCGCATAAGAAAAATTTAAATCTTGAAACAGTTCTTTCCTTAAGCAACTCTTGTATTCATATAACCCTACACATCAATGTCAAATCTGTACCAATTTCACAAATTTTTGAATACCTTGACATAACTGCCGTCGCTACTTGTCAAATCATCATCGTCATCATCGCTCTGCGTCTCCGTTTCTTCAGCAGAATCATCTTCCAACTTCTCGCTTGCTCCATTGTTCATTAAATTTACTCCAGAAGGAACAGTAGCACACTGATGTATACGGCTCGGTGCAGCTGGTGCACAACATGTTGAACCGGAAGCCACAAGAGTAGGTGATGGTGATGGGGATTGAACTAAGATGAATCAAAATAAAACTATTTATGAACGCATGACTGTGAAGGAAGCATGTAAACTACATGCCGCTCAAAAATCAACTGTCGTGTTTTCATTAATTCTTACTAAATGATTCAATTTTTGTTAAAAGTGTGCACAAAAAAGAACTGACTAGGAGAAGAAGTCGGTGTTATCTTGTCACTGTCTTCCAGTGCTTCCAGAAATCCCTGACCTGGAATCGAATTACTCGTGGCCGTAGTCAACAAAGTTGAAAATGGGAATGAATGAGTCCTTGATCGGTTTTTCTAAAACGAAAAATTTCTTCCGTTGGAAAACAAACTGCAATGAATTCATCAAACTTTACTTTACCTCAACTTTTTACAATGCTAATAATATCAAATTAGTGCATAAGGATATTTATTATTTCTAACATCGAGTTAATAATACTGCACAACTCAATTTGGTTTTATTGTCACATCCAACGATAGAACATACCACTGATGCTGATCGATGTGGCAAACTTGAGCTATATGGTTGGTTGCTGCTCCTGTCTAAGCCTAAAAATGGTTCAACTTCACAACATTCTCTACAACTACCGCAGTCACATAAATTATAAGCTCTATATCTGCATATTTTCTTTTTTTTTTTTTTTTGGGAACGCTCTTACCAAAGATATTTTCATCACTGCACATATCACTACGACAGCAAGCATCATCTGAAGAGGATCGAGAATGACCCAAATGGAAATGTACACGTCGTGAAGAGGTTTCTAAGACTAATTCATCAATCTTTTCCTGAAAATTCCAATTTCTCTTATAAATAAACCAAAAGTGATAAACAGAACTTTACACCGTATTAAATCATGATCCGACACTTCAAAATATTTTTAAAGATTAGTTTTTTGCTTTATGATCTCACTAAAATTCAGTAAAATTTCCAAAAATTCACCTGTTTAGCAGGATCAATATTGAAAATGCTGATAAGGTTTGAAACCGGACTAACCGGTACAACTTCACCACCGTGAACAGGGACAGGACCGAATGGAATCAACATTGGGACATCTACATCCATGTTGAATTGATGTTCATTGGTACCCATATTCTGCGGTGCAGCCACAGTGCTTACATTCATTTCCTGTGTCGCTGTACTGGAATTAAAAAACGTAACAGTGAATTTATTTAGCAGGAGCCTGCTTACATTATGGAGTAGTCCGCAAATTTTGCACAGAACTTAGGGACAAAAAACTGAAATGTCATGAAATAAAGTAGTACTCAACTTAGAACTGATTTTCGATCATTATAATTTAGCTAACATAAAAATGAAAAAAATTCTTTAAGTCAAGCACTCTAAATTCCTCGCACATAAGAATCACTATTGCAATTGATGTAATAATGTAATATCTACAACCGCGTCACAGTTAATAAATTGTAATGGTAAAACGCTATCATCACTGTGAGAATTTAATGGTTTACCGGTCAATTTCCATCTTTGTACGATACAGTAGATCAACAGAAAATCCACCAAATGGAGATGTTACCAGACCGATGCGAACTTTTTTTTGTTCTTCACCTAAGTCCATTTCTGGTTCTTTTTCGTAAATCTTAAAGAACACTAAATATTTATTGTATTTTATACGATGACGGTTTAGTTACAAGTCGACTATACAAATTCTTCAGTTTCACAATAGTGAAATACATAACTGAACAACCCTTACTCTATACATGATAATGAAAGTGTCAGGGCCTTGTTTGCGAACATAGTAACGATAAGCTGGAGTCATTCGTGATGCTACAATTGCTGATTTCAAAAGTGTCCCTAGCTGGTGGTATAATTCGGTCCTTATGTTTACATTTCCATCAATCAATTCCGAATCATACCGAACACACCTGGAAAGTGATAAATTTAATGATACAATGATCATAAATTAACTTATTCGAAATGCCTAAATCCTCCCGCTGAACAACACATTCTGAATTCAAGTAACTAAGTTTTAAAATTCAGCATGGGTTAATTCACCGTGTATGATGAATCTATCACACAGACATTTTACTTTCTTTATGAGAGAAGCACAATTCATCTGGAAACGAGCACAAAAAATATATACCACGATTCCAAAGGTAGGACATCACCATCAGCAGTATGAAGCAGAAAATCCAAAGTGAAACAATTAGCGTTCGGAGGATATCTATAAAAATGAAAACAATAAGCTGACTGGAACTCAACTTCAATAGACGGACAAAATAAAATAAAAATACCGGGAAAATGTGTTAGTCCTAAAACTGCTAACTTTGTGATGCTTGTGCGTAACTGTGCAGCCACTTCACCTAGTTCATCAATTCGTATGCTGAACCAATCAGTAGCATCCGGTGATACACTACATGATTGTACTATCAACTGACCAAGACGTGATTGAACAAGTGCCTGAACCTAAAACAAGCTTTTCCTTTGATGTCCCAAGTTACTCCTCATTTTCCAGAATAATATTAAAACATCTGGAAATAGTCCAGCGCATCCTAAATAACAAAGACTATTTACCAAACGTGTTGTGAAGAATTTGCCAAATTTAACGAATTCTTGATATGATTTCGAGCACGTCGCTGAATCACTCATGCTAAAAGAAAATTTCTCGTCAAGTAATATCCGGAATAATTTGAAGTTAATATGCTGTTATAGTTAAATGGATCGCGTGGCCGTGAAATACGAATTTTGTGGAAAACAGTCAGAAAACAAAGCATGGATGCACCAGACGTCTTAAGCTCGGCTTATCACAATGAATCTGCAAACTACCAATGATAGCAGTTAATGACTGCACCTATATATGTGGTACTCAAGAGCGTACAGATGAAAATGAGGAGTGGGATGTCATGATATATTTCCCTCACTAAATGTTCGATAGCCTCAAGTTATTCAAGCCTCTCTAATTAATATAAAAAAAAACCGAAATAAAATGAGTTAGGAGCGAAAAAACCATTAGCAGAATGAAAGACAAAAATGTACGCAATCAAGCAACTGAAATAAAGATACGAAATAAAATTAAAATGACAATGTTTGATTCTTCAGTAAGATAAGATAAAATGAATTAATTCCTACACTACATTGTTATAATATGTGGCCGAAAAGAATCTCCATTCAACAAATAATAAAATATCTCGACTTTATTAAAGCTATTTCTTCTGATTTTCTCCAGAACCGCAATCGGGATAGCGAAGTACGAAGTCGAATTACCGGCTAAATTCGAAGTATGAAAGAACATTGGTGACGGTTATTATAGATCAGCCTTAGATGACCATCAGACTGATGTACAGTTGTAAGCTGGAACGGTTACGTAATCTGCTGCGGACACAAGGTGGTCTACGTTCGAATACCATACAATTCAGACAATCTCAATTAACTGAGCACTAGAGCTGAAATTAGAACCAAATTTAAAAATGACTGATTAACCTCTTAATAATATCTTGGCTAATTTCGATACAATGTGATACATAATTCATGCTTTCAAACCTGGAAAAAATTCAAAACAATTGTAACTGGGATTGGAACCGGATGGCTCGTCAAATCCACTCCACCCCCGGACTGCCATTCCGAGTAACAGCCCAATACCTCCCAAAAATTTAGCTGTACAGATCCCATTATCCGGCCCGCTTGTATCATACGTGGATTGCGCTCGCACGAACTTTACAATACAGGAGTCGAATTTTCACAGATGATTGACAGAAATTTACGTCTCTCTGTGCAATTTTAAAGGGCTGACTTACGTGAGAACGGTTTGGATGACTGTCATATTTTCATCCTTATTTTCTTATAAGAAGAGATACGGGACAGATATACTTCTTGGCTATATCATAGTGATCTAAATGTGACATTTAAGTAACCCGGTGGTGAGGTCTGTCGAAAACCCCGGAATTTTGTAATATAAAATTATTACATGAACAGAGGAAATTTGTATCACTAACAGTTACAAAGAAGTTGCTGTTCACAATTTTTTGTCAATGCTAAATTTAATTTTTTTTTCATATGATATTCTTTATTTTGTGCTGCTAAATGTCATTGATAGTTATTTTATAACATTTCCCACCATTAGATGTTTTCTGTTTTTTATGTATAACAACAAATATAGCTAACGAGTGATCAGTGGAATCTCTTTTTCCCATCGATTTCTTTCTTCCCGTTCATGACATCGCATTGCGTACTACTGATTTATCCCATTATATCTCATGATGCGTGTGACTTTCACATACATCTCTACGATATATTACATGATATCTCCCGTTACCGCCCAACGTTGGGTATGTACAGTTACGGTAGACACTACTATATATACTCACAGATGAACTGAGACTCTCCCCAAAACAAGACGTCTGTGTTCCCCAGTCTCTTGAGAAGAAGGTCGTTCGATTAAGTCTGAACAAATCAAGTGTTAGGATTTGGAATATTCATCACCGTTTATTGTAAGTATATCCAGTCTACTTTCGAATAAACTTATTCATTTGTATTGTTGTAGAAAATCAATTTGCTTTCACGAATCAAAAAAAAATTTTTTTCACGATAAAGTTAGCAGTTGAATTTTACTAAATTTAGTTTTAATTTTGTAAAACGATTTCAGAAACCGAAGAAGAGTGGCAAGAATAGAGAAAATGTTACAACTTGGCCTTCTTGCTGCCGGTCATCTTCCTATCTTTTTTGCAATGCTCTTTACATTGATGCTAAGTAAGTTTCTAGATTCTTCCTATTTTTCCTTTGTATTATGGTCATACTTCTAGATTTTTTCGTTGTCTCTGGATAGTTTGAACTTGAATGATTGTAGGTGCATCATATGTGTTGGCAGTATGGCAAGGTGATGTAGATCCAGTTTTTCCATATATTTCATCTTCTGGAGATCATCGTCCAGAATCGTGTTTCTTTAGTATGATGCTCAATTTATGCTCGTTTCTGATAATGCTTATCATTTATTTAAGGTACTTAATTATAGATTGATTCGATTCAACATGGTTTTTGAAATAAATATGGTTGACATTGAGAAGTGATTAATGAACTTGATTTCGGAATCCTCTTTCGGGTAGTTCATAAGATTAAGTATATTGAGGAATTTGAATTTTGGGTACAAATGAAGGCATTGGTGAAGAAAAGATGAACTAATCTCTATAACGGTCAGTTTTCGAGGTCCATTATTTAAGGTAAAGGAAGGATGCGTGTACATAGTAAATGAGAGCAAAGGTGAGATGGCCAAGGAATTATGGGATAATAAATCTACAGAGAGGAAAGAATGCGACTTTTGTATGCATTAGAAAGATGTTATTGTAGACCAAATATTGATGCATAAATTTATAGCTTACAAAATTATGAAAAACGAGGATATTAATAGGGTTACTAGGGATTTCATCTGAAGACGAAAATGGGCTGCCAGGAATATCTAGAATTTCGCTATATATTTGGGTCAATATCAATTTATTTCCTTGATGGGAATAAATTATTATATAGCAAAATTTCGTAGGTACTCGCTAGTAGTTGAGTTGAATCGTGACTCAGATCATCTACTGAAACGTTTGAATATTTTTACATTCGCTGTCGGTATGATTGGTGGAGTTGGGATGTTCGTTGTCGCAAATTTTCAAGTAAGTTTAATCAAGTTAAATCGTAGCATATTATGGCTCTCATCAGCTGAGGTTTATTTTTTTTAATGTTTTATTACAAAAAAAAAAAAACTAGTTTTTGTAGATTTTTTGTTCGCACTTATTTTGTTTTTCTGAAAATAGGTGAATAAAAATCAACACTCGTTAATGGTCAGTTTTTATAACGAATAATATGATGAAATACTCAGCTTGCTTCATTATTCAATGTTTTATTAATTTCTGGATAATGGGGATTTTTCTGCATCTATGCGACAGGTAACACTAACTACCTCCAAAGAAATGGAACCTAGGAAACCAGGGCAGTTCAAATTGTAAGAAATTAACGCAACAAGATATTCAAGAAACAGTACTTGGCTGTAAGCGGTGTTATGTTAATATTGTCATGATTATTTCAAGATTTAACTGGAATGAATTAGATTAAAATCTAAGCCAATAATGATTGAAGCACAATTTCATTAAAACCTTTTTATAGGAATCAGCTGTTATTACAGTACACTTAACTGGAGCATTTTTATGTTTTGGATGCGGCTGTTTTTATATGCTTTTGCAATTTTGTCTTACCATTTATATGTGTCCATTATATAACAGCCGCCGTATCGGTCTCATCCGTGGTGCAATAGCATTATTTGCTATAATATGCTTCATCACAGGTTGACATTTCTCAATTTTTAAAGATTTTGACTTCATAAATTTTATTTACTGAACTGAAGCACCCGGCATGAATGATGAAACGAATACTTATTTTTGTTTATTAAGAGTGGCACTGACATGGTAAATACCCATTCAGGAGCTTCATATATAACGTTGAAATTAGAACCAAGAAAACCGTAGCCAAAAATAACGCTACCTTTTCATAATAATCGGAAATGAAAAGAAGAAGAAAGAACGGGAGTAATGACGAATAAATGAAAGGACGCTGCAGAATTATAGATTTATTATTTTTTAGTTGTTTCTTTTGGTATAGCTGCATCGAAGGAATTTCACAAGCATTACCCTGACCTACCTACACCGAGGCCCTGGTCCAGAAAGACAAATCAACCCGTAAGACTTCTTCATTAATGTTTTTTCTTCAGGACAGGACATTTTTGAAGATTTTTTAGTTCTCTGCCAGAATTAGCTTGAACGTAGGAGTTCTAAGTAACGTAAAAAAGGAATGGGGTGATGAAAATGCTCTTTCATGTTCAGCTAAATCTAAATTATTTAGAGTTCGTTTGGTTAAGCTGATGATTAAAACGAAATGATGTGATAGCTATCATCAGAATATTGTCTAAGAGGTCACTAATTATTTTCAGGCGCAAAGTTGATAATTCCTCATCGGAATTAGATGTGTTGGTTTATGACCAATGGATATAAATTATATGATTTGTAGTTAAACGTATTAAATATTGGAAGGAAAGTAATTTCATATTCTTTTAATTTGTTAGTTTATTTTCAGGGTTACAGTCTTCACTGCGTTTCTGCTATTGCTGAGTGGTGCTTGGCAGTATGCAATGTGTTATTTATATTAAGGTATACTTTCAATAGTTTCAGATTATACTTCTAGTTTAAAAAGTATTGCTGTGTCTTACCATGCTTTAATACGCATAAAGTTCGTGGAATTTTCATAGGAGTATCAGTTTCGTGATGAGGGACTTTTTGCGTTAGGAAAATATTCAGGAGTGCATTCTTTTTTTGTTTTGGACTTTACAATTTCTCCATCTCATGAAATTTTATGCAGTTTATTAGTACCGTCACAATCATGGTTCGGAAAACCAGATTTTATTTCATGAATTATATATTCATACTAATTTCGTTTGTCATAAAGGATTGTAATGAATATTTCTTGTAGTTTTTCTCGCGATTTTGAGAAACTTCGTGTTGAATTGAATGTACAGCCGTTAGTTTCGCATTTGGATCATAGTCCATTGTGGCGCTCCGTTACCGATCTCAGTTCACCGTACTGATGCTGAAAATGTATGCTTATAAATCATTATGCTTTTGTTTATTAGAAAAAAAGGCTTAATATGCTTATATTTAATGGAACAGTTTAAAGGTATCGTTTTCATCGAATATCAATAAATATGTTGCAATTTGAATTCGAATTGGATCAAATTAGATACCTACTGATAAGATTGAAGACACCAGGGTAGAGTCATCATGCAGCAAAATATTTTGACGAAAGCTTGGAGCAGTTGTAGAAGACGCTGCGTTTGTTTGCCGATTTAAGTAGAACTCGTCAAATCACTGGGAACGCAGTTAGTAAATAGATTGGGAAGATTGATTTGTTGATTGGTGTTATTACTTCCCCCAGGGGATTCATAGATACCCTAATGATTTTGCAATTAGGTTAATTCCAGTATACACGCGGGATAATTGAGTGAACAGCTCTGATTATCGTATATGATCAGAATTCATTAGATCTACAAGATTGTAATCTCAAATTCTTTGAATTTATTTGCTTCATGACAATAATTGCCGCTAGGCTTTAATGTGTTTGCAGGATGGGTTTTCGCACATTTGTATTCAAATCCTTGCATTACGTTATTATGGCTTTCCTGACAACTTATTGCAGCATTTTTTTTCGTTTCTTATGCTGAATGCAGCATAAGAAACGCCGTAAAATTATCAAATTTCGGGTATAGGAAGCTTTTAACTTTGTTTTACTCTGTTCGATGTTTATTTTCTAAAGTCATGCTCCACAATCACGTTTCAACTGTTAAGGTCATTGCATGTAAGGTTCAAAGAGCCAAAGTCATGTCATTTCAAGAAATTTATATGTCAGTGAACATTTTGTGTGATATTTTTAATGTCATTCGTTCCAGCATTCTTAATATTCTGTCGCTTGTTACATGTAACGAAAATTGAGCGTTGTTTATAATTTTTATTAATTTATATATTTTCAGATATCTTACAAGCTTTTAAAAATCCACATTACTTGTACTAGTTTCATTGATCTCTTCAAAACAGTGTATTAATCTTATATATAAAAGACTATTCAAAAAATATAATTTTAAAGCAAAAAATAAAACTCAATGAAAATGTCGAGAGAAATCGTTTTTTCAAGAAAGCCTCCAGTTCTTGAGCAGGATAGGCTTTCATTAAATTTTAGTCTTTCCATTAAAAGTATATGTTTGTGAGCACCGGTGATGGTTAATTTGAATTTCCTACGCTAGCGATTCAACTTCCCAGTAGTCGTTCTTAAATAAAGGGCGAAGGATACCTGTCAACTGCGGATGGAAATGAATTCCTTTTCCATCATATTTGACGAAATAGTCGCAAATGTTGACAGAAAAACCGGTTTTCTGGTGGCAGCAACTGTCGGATTATGGAAGGTGCTTCTGAGATTTGAGGGCCGATAGTTCATAAGTTTGCTATCTACATTTGCAGTGGGCTCGAGGTTGTCAATAGATGAATTCTTCTGATGTAATAAGCTTCACAATGCACCTTTTACGGCTCATTATTTTTTGGTGGGCAGAAGGCGTTAAAAACTTTCGCTAAATACGGAAATTGCTGATTGAAAACGTCTAAAAGTTCACCAATGTTCTTACTGTGACAGGATTTGGACTTATTGTAAATAACTTCTTTACCGTTGTAATCTATGGGTCGTAAACTGCTCTTCATACTACTGTACTCCCAGTTATTCTTTCCATGCTTTAAAATTTTAGATTAAAAACACGTCATTGGATTCTACTGTAGTGGTAAAACAACCGCAAATGTACATGTATGGTGTTGTCGCTATTCGTGTTCGGAATTGTAACGTTGTTAACTTTTAATTGCTATAAATTGTGCCAGATTCCACTGATTGGTGAATGTTGAAGGTGCAGTTCTTCAGGATAGATTTCGGTTCTCTGGCACGACTTTCAGGTTTGAGTCAACTTCCCGACCCCTGATTTCATCTCTTGAAGAGGAGTATCAGTTTGTTGATGTCGAAAAAAATTCACGTCGTAGTGTGTACAACCATCAGAAGGTACAAGGCAATATCAAAAGTGTACAAAAACGACAAAAGCAAATTTTTGAATAGGTGAAATTAGGCGCTCGGGATATACGTGCAAATTTCCCGACATTCTTTCATATCAATTCATCTTTAGTTTTTCAGATCTTGCAGCTGGGGTCTTGAATTTTACAGTTTTAGTTAATAGGAAATCCTGACAGCAACACTTGACGATTACTAGTTTTAGTAATAATAAGTGTAAATGGGAAACGGCGAAGAAACTTTTTCAAGATTTAGTTTTGCACATGTTTTCATTCGATGAAAAAATCGAGACTCAATATTTTACAAATGCGGAATTTTTTGTGAAGCCGCATCGGAAGCGTAATTTCTTGAAGCAAGCTACAGCATTAAGCGCTAGAATCTACAATCTTGAGTATAAAAGAATTTAGCTCTTTCTGTTGTAGAATATCAAAACATGAATAATCAAATGTATGTGCAACTTCCCATGAAACCCTTTAATTTTACAAATCCCAGTCTGATTACTGTCTATTATTCGTTCATTCCAAACCTTGCATGTTTAGTTCTAAATTAATAAATGACAACATGATTACATCTAACCATTGTATAGAATATATCTCGAAATTAAATGCTCATTTTTGTAACACATAGAAAATCTGGAAAATATAAACAACAAGTGATAGGAGGTAGGAGGTATAAGCACGAACAAAGAAAAAATATCAAATCGATGTAAACAGTAAGGAACTATCTATACAGTTTACCTACATTATGCAATCTCATAACAAACGCACTATATATCAACCTAGAACACTTGGTCCAAATTTATACACTAATTTCTTTGGATAGAGTCCTGTTTTCGGTACCGGTACCAATATTCGCTTTTCATAGTACGTCCTTGAAACAAAACATGTAATATATTATTTTTCTTGAAGACTTGCAAATTTCATCTGTATTCGGTTATATTAATTTAATAATTGCAGCTCATAATTTGAGATACACTGATTCATCATTTCAATTATTACTTAGGTATGAAGTTATTGTGAGGAAGCACTTATACTTTTGACAGCTTACACAGCTTAACAAGCTATACACATTTTCATAATTTTTATTGACTACTTAATGCTTAAATTTGATTCTGATGTTTCTGCTCTTGTATTTTTCATATTCTTTTTCACGATCTTATAAATATTTCTTTGTTTTAAATTACAGCAAGAATTTTACCTCATAGCTCGGCTGAGTTTTTCGTAGGTCATTTTTTGATTGTTTTTCCGTTCACCCCAAAGCTGTGCCAATTTTTCCGATTCAACGATTCGGAAAACGCCTTCTGCTGGATCCTCCCACCTAAAACCGATCAAAAATTTAACGGTTACACCATATTTTTTGTACAGCTAGTTTATTGCTGATACATATTCACATTGATAGATTCTTTCAAATATTTTTTCCTTTACCTCAGTGGTCTCTTTATCTAATCTTGCTTCTTCTGTACCAATTTCCGTTCCTCATCATCCCGTGAACTTGCTATCTTAAGGTTTGGTGAATGTTTTTAATAAACCTATCACGTGCACATAAAACAACTTACCACATTTATACATGACAATATGCTGCATGACAATGAACTAATGAAATGAAAGAAGCTACAAAATGCTTACCGTACAACACTTGGACAAGTACTGGGATCTTTCAAAGCATCACGTATGAATTCCCATAATTTGTTCCCTTTGGAATGTTGTGAGTGCTTCCTTGGCCTTCCATCCTTATTTTTTCGGACTTTGCAATACGTTGGTCGTAACATAAAGGTTTCATCGGATCCAACTGAAAACTGTATTTAATATCCAGGAACATAAACAGATTGCTACATGGAGATTTTCTATTTTCATGCAGAAATCCAACCAGTACTAATGTTGCCATACCAAAAAGAAAAACAAAACCGTTTTCTGAATATCATCTTATTCAAAATTTAAATTTTTACCACTCACTCGTGAGGCTAAACTAAATTATACGAAATGAAAATATATCCCAGTTTATTAATCTAATTCTAATGCTTGCCAACGGTTATCTTGGAGAGCTTAGCCTGCTCTCCTCCAAAAACGTCTTTTTGTCTTTCGCTTTTCAAAATTTTTTTCTATTCAACTATTAACTAAGAAACGAAACTAATAATTCAAGCCTCGCTCAGAAAATAAAGCTCATACTATTACTTTGAGTATGGAAGATATGATACTGGATAACTATTGCTCTTTACGCAAGAGCTGAAATTTTATGGTAATTAATTATTTAATACTTTCAGGCTAATGAACACCCATAATGTATAGCTATAAAAAATTTAACATGCGTAATAAGTTAACTAACCAGGTGAATTGAAGTTGAAGGTACCAACGATATCAGTGCCGACTTGGGATAATGTATCTAAAGGCTGCATGCTTGACGAACTGATCGGATCACTATCAGGTACCAGAAGTGAAGACAAAGTACTGGTATTAACGGATAGTCCACTACTGATACTGGAGATTCTAGAACATTATGCATTAATTATTAATATCAGCTTCATTCAAATCTATTAAATCAAATCTTCCGATCTCCTATTCTCCCAATTTGAACAAAAATGAACCTCGATTTCTCATTGTAAGAAGTCAAATTAAAATCTTACCTCATAACATTAATTCTAAGCAATCAACAAAAAAAAAAACAAGTCAGGAACCTTGTGTCATCCGGTACTCGACTCGTGCTTGCTTTTCCTGGTAATTTATAAGGACACTGATCAGTAAATCTTTCTTCTGCAATAAATTACTGATATTTTAACAAGTTGTGAATCTTAACAAATACGCGTTTGAAATTATTTCTCTGAGCAATGATCTGACGATAGAAAAAATTAAATCTTGATAAAAGTAACAAATAATGGATCTGGTAGAAGAAAGATATGCAACATTACTCATAAAAGATATTGCTATTTAATTATAACATTCAAAAATGAGATTAATATAAAATTTATAGACCGAGGAAATTTAAACAAATACTGTATCATATGAGCAAATACAACACGATTAAAACACAAACCGGTTAATAATTTCCTGAATTCAGCATATAACAGTGAACCATATACGGCATCTCGTTGTTTAAAATCGATTTCACGCATCTGGATCAACATCATACCAGTACAGTTTGCAAATTTTTGCATTTCTAAATCTTCGAATGGGATACCATTCCGTTTAGCAACATGTAATAACCATGCAATAACATCGCCCATAGTCCATTCCTGAAATGACTATTCCTTTCTTCTCCTTTTCCCTTTTCCATCATATTCTCGTAATTTTATATTTGCTTTTAATCATTCTAAATATTTCCCTCCTTTTTCCTCCTTCCTTTCCCTCATTTAACTAACAATGATCATACTTTTGGAGTGTCAGTAATAGAAAGAGCGAATGTACTTCAAAACGAAAACAATTTTCCTTCTCTGCTAATATTTCTTCATATCTAACATCTATCCTTTCTCTTTCCTCTTTTTCCTATTTTTTCTTTTTTTACGCCTTGCCTACCGCAAATATTATTAAAAAGAAAAAAGCATGCCTATTTCTAGTAAATAAGACAAATTTTCCTTTACTTTCATTTTTCCATCAATGTAATGAAACGAAGATCAACTCGCTAGATAGAAGTGATTATTAATTAATTGATTTTTTAGCATATGCATAATCAATGTGTTAAGAAAAATTTCTGCTGATTACTCAATTTGAATGAAATGGACTATTACTTTTCCACTAATTCGTTATCGTCCTTTAGCATACGCATTTTCCTTTCAAAATATTTACGTATTTTAAAGAGAAAAAAGGATTTTTTCTATCATTACAATTGAATTTATGTTTTCCAATTACTCAAATGAAGGAGTATATTTCTGATTTGAAAATCATGTAAATAATTTATTAAAAAGTAATATACAATATTTTTACCTGTGGTTCTTTAGAAATAAATCGTGTTAGATCGACACGCTCATTGTTTGGTATTGGCTTAAATTGTGTAGCTGCTGGATTCATATGAGTCCGTAATATTTCACCTCCAAAGTGATCAAATAGCGCCGGTAAGCACATCAGCGACGGATTGAGCGCTGCTGCTGCAATCGGCGCCACAGGGCTTATTGCAGTATGCTTTTCTGCTATGCACGCCTGTATCATAACACCATAATACAGGAAAAGATTATCATTTAATCTTCTTCACTTTTATATATAACGAATAAATTATGTGATAAACGGATAAAACGCATTTCGACTAAACAACTAGAAAAATGAAAAAGATTAGGAGATGCTGTTCTCTCATCAAAAGCCTTACCAGCAATGAAGGATGAAATAGATGGTTCGCAGGATTAAAGAATTTCCATAGATTCTTAACTAAGTTTACATACCAAGAAATGTCTCTGTCAGAATAATTCCCTGTCCAAAAAAAAAAGAAAATCCATCAGTTCAAAAACAAAATATCTGTTAACTGATTATGCTAACAATAGCAGACATACAGATTGCCCCCGGACAATAGCTCAATCCCGAAACTGGTTCTCAAATTACATCCTGAAAGAACACACCCCAAATTTCATCCTCCTTATAATTTGCAGCAAAAAATTACATGATTTTCTTTTTTGTAGTTCTATCACTTTTTAATCACTTCGTATAATGGAAAGAGTTCAATCCCTTCCTAACTTTTCAAACCACTTTCCGGAAAGTATATTATTTCTCACAACAATCCATCATTCACCTTTCTCCTTACCGTTTTAAAAAGGAAACTGTTGAAATATGGATGAAGCCTTTCAATAGCTTAGCATTACACGCCGTTTGTCAATATCGGTCATCAATGGTAAATAAAATGTTGAAAGTATGATTCACAGACTGCTTGGAAAATTTCTTCTTTAAATATATATGAATAGAATTTCACAAACATCTAGTTAGGATTGATTGAAGGATAGCGAATGAACAGACATGAGAATTTGCATCTGACTTAAGGAATCGGCATTAAATTTTAAGTCTATTTGAAGTGGCACAAGGTCGATATCATATCCATATCCCGCCGTTTCCGTTTCAGATTTCTACAGCCGTTTCACCCTGATAGTAAACGCTAATTCCACATAAATCTACATGTTATGCAAAATGTTCCATTTACCTCTTGCAAAAGAAAAACGATTTCTTCATCCTTCGCTATCTGTCCTTAAAAAAATATCGGAAGACTGAATGGTTCTCACAAAAAAAAGAGAAAGACAGATTCTCGACGACCATTCATTTTTCGGTACAGATTTACCAAAGAAAAGCAACATATACCTTGAATCTTGATTGCTTTTAATAATTACTGCCATCTACTGATCACTATCACTGAGCTGCTGATAGTTGAATAAAAACATAACTCGTCAATGGAATAAATACCTTATACTACACTCCATTATCAGTATTCAAATTCAATGTTTTCATCGCTTATTTACTCCTACTAATAGCCAATCCTTTATCAGTACTTTAACCCATAAATTGATTATTCCCACTTTTTTTTCATGCCATCCAACAACGTTAGTATAATAATAAATTCGACAGTAAATACATATAATTTATATTTTTTAAGCTTTACTATATGACTCTTTTATAATCAAAAAAAAGCATGGCACATTTAATTAAACAGATAAACAGACCAAACACACACACACACACACACACACACACACATACACACATAGAGAAATGCATATGTAGAAGGAAGGATGAGTGGATGTGCTATAATTTAATGGAAGTGTGCCAGTGATAAATAACACTGTGAACGAAGTGATGAATGATAGCCAATTACCGAAAGGGAAATGAAGATGAAAGGAACATACACAGAAAGATATAATATCAATACCTGTTGACGTGAATCGTTTGCAGGTAAATAATCGGTTCCTGTCTGGCCACACGGTAAATGTACCGATGGATAGATGAATGCGGAGTTAAACTGGTTAGCGTGAGAGATAATGTCAGTATGCTGAGATGAAATAGGTATCGGTCGTGGAATATGTACAGAAAATGCGCTGGAATGCGTATCCGATGATGGATCAATTGCGACTTTTCTCAATCGTTGTTTAGTAGAGGACAAGAGAATATGATGAGTTGACCGGTCGGTGGATGACGAGGAGAATTAATTAGTGAACGATTTAAAAAAGATTGATATGTATACCACAATCTTTATAAATGTCGTATGTGTACACGTAAATACATTAGCCTTACAAGTAGATAAATTTCAAAGATAATGTGGTAAGAGGATAATGATCAGCTGTTGTAACATTTCTTCCTCCTTCTTCAAATTTCAATTATCCGTATATTCCCATCTTTTTTCTTTTTCCAGGTTTTTTCCTGAAATGATATTTTTTTGTCATTAAAAAAAACAGTTGATTACATTCGAACAGCTTCATTTTTGGGTAATGGTGATGATCGGAAAGTACAAGTTTACAGAAATTGAAAAGTCGAACAATGAAGTTTTCTAGAAAGAAAATGTTTTTCTTCTTTTGTTTGTTTTGTCTTCTTTTCACCTTAATTTTCTATCACTGATTAATATTTTCCATAACACTTTAATTCCTATTGATCAAAATTCTACAATATTTCTAATTCGAGATTTTCGTTTTTTCTCTTACAGAACAAAAATTTTGAGCCTAAATTGTAATTGTTGTGAGGATAAAAATAAAAGAAATAAAATAGAATGGAAATAATATCAACAAATGAATAATATTTTATGAAAGGCTATTATATCGTATAATTTAGTTACTATAAATAACATACTGTTTTTCGTCGTAACAAATAATGATGAATTAATTGGCGAAACATTAAAATGATTGCTTATAATGTGACAGAAAGTGACTATTGTGACTAATGCACTTTCATATATGCCAAAATGATATTGTAAAAAGAACTGTGGATAGAGAGATGAAGGCGATGCGACCGACGGTTACATAACACCATATTGCGCTTATCCCATCATTGTCGACTAGAATTTCTTGAAAAAGTGAAATTTAAATAAACAAAACTTCGAATTAAATGAGACATTGCACAGAAGATGAGACAATTCGACAAATAGCAAAATCAAATTTATTAATCGAAAATTTGGATGCTTTTAAATTCAAAAAAGCAGTACGAAAAGTAATGAAGTAACAGATGAAATGTAGGTACAGATGAGAAGATGCATTCAATATTCTGCATTTATCAAACTAATAACTATTTAAAATTAATGAAATAAATTAAAGTAAAAAATGGAACAAATGCAAAAATACAACTCATAGAAAGTGTTGAGGAAGCACTAACAAGGTGAAAAGGACGAGAGTTCCAGTTATTGATAAATTTTCAAAAATAATTTCAATAGCATAATCCACATGCACTTACTCTTACTTCAAGACTGATCCAAGCAGCTGCAAAATGGAGAGGAACAATCAACGATTTCAAATACTTTTTTTTCCTTCCTAACACTGAGACTGCGGTAATCAATTGCTATCGAAAATCCAAAACAAATGAAACTAAGAGAATATAAATTTCGTCTATGAATTTTGTCCTCAACAATTTGCAGCTACTTCTCAAAATCCGTCCGGTTTGAAACTTGTTAAACGTGACATTCAATAGCTAACAATCTTTCAAAACACAAAAAAATAACCGAACGTCCGTCCTACTTCCAAAACATTTAAAAGAATGAATGATTGGGAAGAAGGGAGGGAGAAGAAGGAAGGAAAGAGGATGAAGCGTTATTTGCTGGAACGAAATTCTCAGGCTTTAAAGGATTCGTCCTTTAGAATGAACTCTTTCATCCAAATATCATGTCCTCTTTTTTCTTCCTTCTCTTTTTCTTTTTGTTTTATTCTTTTTATCTCATAGTAATTTCATTTTTTACTCAGAAAAGTAAGGCGCAATATTTTTCTCTTAGTCGCATAAGGTTGAAAAAAAAAGTTTCTATGATCATATTCTGTTCACATTAATTACAGAGTAGGAAAAAAAGATACATATGATGATTTGATATTTGTTATCAAAATGATCATTCATTTTGTTCAAATACCATTTTTGAGACGAGAAATGAAATGGTAATCAGTGTATGATGTTCCCAAGATGCTACCAGAAGAACAGATGGATATACCTTCCTCCATCTCCTCCGCCTTCTTATCTCAAATAATGGTCATTACGGATTACAGAAGGCCATAAATTCTGCATCTTCTCTCACAGATAATTCTCGAATTTTCGTTGCAAAATTTTGTTAATAAACAAGCAAAAATAAAAATAAAAATAGTTATAATATCAAAGTGCTCAAACCGTACATATTATTGGAATGTACGACAAGAGGGTAGAGCAATGAAGTAATATGATGACGAGGCGGAGGAACTTTGTGGAATCAAGAGGGGTAAGGTGGAACGAAGCAAAACAAGAACGATGAAAGATAAAAACATCGGAAAGAATGGAAACGGAAAGAGGTGATGAAAACGGATGTCAATTTTGTTGAACTGTTTTCCTTTTCTTTCCCTTTTTGTAAATTTCAAATGGATATTTTGATATGCGTGTACATATGTCCCCTGTGTACGTGTCTATATGTATGTCTGTGTGTGTGTATACTTATATGTATATGTCTGTGTATGTGTATGTGTATATATATATGGATGAATATATGCGTGTACACGTACGTATGCATCAAAATAACAATTAGAAGAAGGATAAAAAAACAAAAATAAGAAATGAAGCAAATGATGGAATGCTACTGTGCAAGCAATAACACTTATGCTAGAAAGAGCAACGATCAAAAAAAAGAAATTACTCCATACTAATCATTACTACCATCATCATCAGCACGACCACCCCCATATAACCAATCAAGGATTTCAATTCTCTGGCTCTAACGCTTTCACCCATTTCTACCCCCTCTTCCCCTTCAACCATTCCCATTCCCCCTCCCCTATCTCTTTTAAACAAACAAACTTGCACCTCTATTCTCCCCGTCCCATCTTTCAATAGAGATAATTCGACCGGTTCCGGAATGCAGATCGACTGTTACAAATGATTATTTTCCGGCTTTCATTCGGAGAATCTTATTTTTTTATCAGTCTATCTACCATTTCACTCCACTTTCATCACCCCTGATTTTCCATTTCCCATCCAGCCGATCCGAACCGAGAGAACTTTTACCACGGCACTTCCTTTGCTTCTAATTCGTTCTTACTCCTCTCTCTCTCTCACCCTGTCACCTACCGTTTCCATATTTTTTTTTTCAAATATTGTTTACACACATACACATACACACACACACACACACACACACACACACACACACACACACACACATACACATACAACACACAATACACACAGACAAACCATGCACTTTCGCTACTTTTTATTTTGCGTTTTTTGCTTTCGGTAAACATAATGGTAACAATCGGAAAGATCACTCTTTCACTTCGAGGGAATGAGTAAACTAAGAAAAGGACCTATCGTACTGCAATATAAATTATTGTTGCGAACAGAAACAAATTAGGTACTTCTTGCTTGCATTTCATATTTTATCAATTCATTGATATTGCTGCATTATTTCATCGAAATTTTCGGATGATTCTTTGCGCTCCTTTGGGACATATCTCCCGTCCAAAATGTTTACAAAAGGATCAAACGCGAGATTACTCCGCCTATCTTTAAATCTGGAATTATTATTACTGAAGGAAGGTTGACTGCTACTTTTTATGGACCAACGTTAGGGCTGCACATTTTTTCTTTTTAAACCTAATAGCAAACACTGCAGAATGGCATGGAATAGATGAAAATTTGGAACGGGAATATTTATTTCTGAATTTCATAAAATTTTCAACAGTAAGAGTGCATTCGCTAATAAACAACGTAATATATAAGGAAAACAATTATAAAACGGGTGATATCATAACATGCAGAATATATATCATCAACATCGCATAGAGATATTATACTTTGAAACACCACGTGAACACAGGTACCAGTTCGTTGTTTGTTAAGTAATAAATCTAAAGTCATATCAGGTAGGAAAAATACTTTCCATATAATCAGTCTAGAAAACTAGGAATTTAAAAAGGGAAACGAAGACAAGGAGTGACGGCCAAGCAAGAATAAAATCAATCATTATGCAGCATATATACAGTTATAAGTTGAAAAACAAAAGCCAATAGTTTTCAAAATGAAGAGCTGAGATCAGATGGAGGGATTTAGTTTTTTTTTTAATCATATGAAATTTCTGCAGTTGTTATGATTATGAAATTGTTACGTCATATGAAGTATTTAAGTAGCAATAGGATGAAGAAAGAGATGAACAAGAAAATAAACGAGAGTTCTAAATAAATTGGTCATACAAAACAAAATCTCATCAAATTCTGTAAATTTACATAGGAATGCAAATTAAGAATCACGATCTGTGGAAAGCTAAATAAATGAATAGAAAAACAGTCCAACATTTCAATAACAATTCAACAGTTATATTTAATATGCGTATACGATCAGTGCATACAGCAAAACTAATTGCGAAAAAAGAAATCCTTAAGCTTTTCCTGATGTACTTCGACATTAACTCCTTTCGAGTATTGATACGTAGAGCTGGCGCAATTGTATGACATCCGGATTCCTCGAACCGATCGAAATATGAGAAATACCAGTACCAAAAGGAACAACTAAATTGGATTTGATAATATCAATGTTGTTAAAAATAAAAATTTTGAAAGTTCTGCAATAATCCTATTTAATTTTAATTAATGAAGTGCATAGAACTTAGCATTCAGGTCCAAAATTTTGAAAGAGTTCCATGCAACATTATTCCATTTTTTCTAATTACTGACATTTAAAAATGAAACCAGTATGCCTTACGAACATTTACGGTTAAGGATTACAGAAATTTTTCGACAGTTTAATGAAAACTTCTTACTTCAATGCAAATGAAGACCACAACAATGTAAGCCGCAATCTTAATTTCTTCAAAGATCCAATTAGTATAAACTTCACTGCAACCCTGCAAAAACCGGAAAATATTTATTCTTGTTAATGAATAGAAATTAAAGAACTTTAAGAATTACACAATTCAAGAAAAAAAAATTCAAAAAAAATAATAATATACTAGTTCCTTCTCTATACATAGAAAATTGAAAAACGATACTCTTTGGAACCACAGGTCCCAATTTTCCTTGTCTTTGCCACAGTTTTTCATCGAAGAATTCGGATTTAAATAAATTTTATTGCAACAACTATCAGGAACATAAGAACTGTTTGACCACTTTTGGTTATCAAACCAATCTGCCGGACCATTTACACCACAACAGAGGAACTACAAGATTAAAGAATAATTATGGAACAGAAATGCATGAATTTAAATTTTTTTCTCTTTATCTTAATTAAGGCGTTACGTAAAAGGCAAATCTAACTTACCACTTCCTGTAATTTGTCCCATGTCAACTGACTATTCGTGAATACTTCCCGATGATACTTTAAGCTTTGTTCCATATCACTGCGAACATGTCCATATATATCTGACTGATAATTCAACGCAAGAATACTCACAACGAATTGAACAGCTAACAGAAGAAAGACGAAAAATATATACTGAAAGGTATCATATCAAACAATGTGAGCAAAACCTTCACCATATTATTGTTCATTTTTTTGTAGTTAAGCATCATCAAAAGTAAATAAAGACAGCATCATAATCCTTCAGTTTCGAGTTTTTAAGCGTTAAATTTTAAGCAGTACCAAATAACAAAATGGTCTTTTTGTACACTAAAACTTGCCATTTCAAACAACTTACGGCAAATAAAAGTAAGCGCGACTCAACCCATACTCCCAAACAACCAACAAATGTTATGATTATCACTGTAAGTCCAGCCGCAATACACAAGCCTACCGCAGAAAGAGTACCATAAGATGATGGAATAAGATCGACGTAAGTCTGCTTTGTTACATAAGACCACAAGCCGATCAGTAAGGAACCTAAACCAAGAACCTGAAATATGTTTAAAACATAACTACGATTACTAGGACTCCTTAAACAGTCGGCACAACGCGTCTCTCAAGACAGAGATATAACTAAAGGTCAAAAGCGGCCGTAAAGTATATTTAAAAAAAGAATTGCCATGCTACATACTGTTTTGTTTAATTCAATCGATGATCAGGTTGCAATGATATCACTACATTGATACTAGACAATATCCATCAATGTCAGCTATATAAAGGGAATTCCGAATATTTAGAAAACATGAAATATTACATTCATGATCACACGAAAAACACTTACCCAAAAGATGGTGTTAAGAGCGAAAAATGCCCGTTTTTGGACACCACGACTAAGCAAATAAAATGCCATATACTCGTGCAAAAAGCCTGCAAGAAAAAGCCAAAACGCAACTTATTAATTCGAAATCACGACCTATCATATCAAACACCCAACTTACGAACTTGAACGCATATCATATTGCCTAGAAGATATAATGTGTCACATTAAATGTATGATTTACGTTTTCGAGCACGTAATTTACAACAAATCCGTTATTTGGACTCAGAAATTGGACGATCGCACTGCAAATTCATGATGACAAAATTAAGGGTAAAAGTATCGAGAAAGATAATCCAAACCGACTTCAAAAACGAAACCACAAGTCATCGGAAAAATGATAACACGAACCTAGCAGATTCCACGGGCTCATAGAGTTGCGTGAAATGTTGACTATTCGGATAAAGGATATTAGATGGGCACATATTCGGATATAGAAGAGTAGAGGGATTTATATCGATTTAACTATTTCTCCATTTCGCATTTGTCATAGTTATCATGTCAAAAATACTAGCGCGATTCATTTTGTGTTTCAAGTTATACTTGAAAAGGTTGAGCTTGAGAATAATATTTACTTTCTGATTACAGTAATTTGATCCATTCAGACGATTGCATCTTCAGAAGTGCACGGATTACAGATGAATTTTTGTTGCACCGGACTTTTCACATATCAATTTCTTTTTCGTAAAAACTTCAGATATTAATACGTTAACCTGACATTCAAACAACCTGACCAAAAATGTCCCGTCAATTAGTCCGCAGTTTGGTATAATCTGAACCGTAGACTTACATTCCGACCGCATTAGCGGATTTGTATGAAATTGTTTGAAATGGACTTTCATTCAAAATTTGAATTTCAAGTTCTGAGAATTTTTTGTGATGATGTCATTAATATGAATAAAGAGTAAAGTTTATGAAGGACGCGCTTTAAATTAATTACCCGATATTTATTAAATTTCCATCCATCACCAGTGGTTAGTTGGGAAAGGATGGATGATTGCAATGATGAATTCCTAGGATCCGTGAAAGTTGCATAGGCAGAAAGCGTTGCAGAGTTCGAGTGGACCGTGGAATATTTAATTGGCCCTATGAGAGAGTGCGAGTGGTGTGGCTTTTTTAAAGTTTCTCAAATGGTTTTTGGAAACGATTTCCAGTTTTCCTTGACTGAAATTTCTTTTGAATGGAGTTTTTGAGTGTCAGGATGAGGTTTGGTTTCGTGAATGAATTCCTGCATTTTCAGGATTGGAGTAGTTCAAGTTGTTATTACGGTAACAACTTGAGCTCTCCCAATGTGAAGTCATCCATAACATTTGATTTCTTGTCAACCAAAGTTCACCAGTATTTTTTTGCAGACTTTAGGCCTGTTAATGGCCGCTATCCGTAAAAAATTGGTCATCGTTGGTGATGGCGCCTGTGGTAAGTCACTGTTTTGTAGACCTGGAAAGCTTTGCAATCCAGTTTTATCCAAAATCAAAAAGTTATTTTAAAAGAATTTCAAATCTTATTTCAAGATTTAAATAGATGGAACTTTTAGTTTGATTTTTGGCTTGATGAAGATGCAGTTAGTTGACAAATGATAAATAGAAACTAAGGAATCACGAGTGTCTCTCTATTTTGATAGCTGAAGTTTATAGATCAAAAGGAATTGCAAGGAACGCGGTCAATCGATGAAATAAATCGTTATAATCCTCAATTTCTTCAGAGAGTAGTATTTTTCAGGTAAAACATGCCTTTTAATCGTGTTCAGTAAGGATCAATTCCCGGATGTTTACGTACCAACAGTGTTTGAAAATTATGTTGCAGATATTGAAGTGGACGGAAAGCAGATAAGTTTGCTATTTAACATTTTTAAGTCTTTCGTATTGTGTAACAAATATGCAGTCAGTTTGACATGTTTTAGACTTATGACCAATTAAACTGTGAAGGTTTTCCTAACAGTATTCTGAAGGGAGATTACCATTATCATAAAATATATTTTGTTTCTCTTTGATTTCAGGTGGAACTGGCTTTATGGGACACTGCTGGCCAAGAAGATTATGATCGATTAAGGCCTCTCAGTTATCCAGATACTGACGTAATCCTGATGTGCTTTAGTATTGACTCGCCGGATTCGTTAGAAAACATCCCAGAAAAGTGGACACCTGAGGTATACATCAAGTCATGAAACTTACTAATAAAACAATTAGCTTAATATAACAGATATTCCATGATATAAGACATTTGAATGAGTATAGGGGGATGTTTTACACAAGTAATGTTTTGCTATTATAACTGCACAATTGCAATACTTGTTCTTCGAATCTTAAAGTTTAGTTAGTTTAGAAATTCAAAAGTTTATTCCTAATTTCTGCCATTTATACCATATTCTACGTAAAAACATGAGATATAATTTACATAAGTGGAGGACAGTGAGTTTAAACGGCTTTATTTTGTTGACAGTTGATATATTTTATTTCAGGTACGCCATTTCTGCCCAAATGTTCCAATAATTTTGGTTGGTAATAAGAAAGATCTTCGTAATGACCCACAGATGGTACGTGAATTAGCAAAGATGAAACAGGAACCAGTACGTCCGGAACAGGGCCGTGCTATAGCTGAACAAATCGGTGCTTTCGCATATTTAGAGTGTTCCGCAAAAACAAAGGATGTCAGTTCATCTTTTTCTAATTTAATACTTTCAAATAATTCGACCATTTTGTAATATCACGAAAAGGAAATCCGATTATTGAGTAGCATTGAAGTAGAACTGGTATATTCCGAAAAGTATTAATCAATTTTTACAAAATACTTCATGGGCTTGAGATACTCTACTGATTTGGCTGATTTAAATTAGGCATTTCATTGTTGATCTAAACAACCGGTGGATTAAAGTAGATATTAAAAAGATCGGCATGAACAAATAGTGAAAAAATGCTTCAGGGAATTCGAGAAGTGTTCGAAAAAGCAACGCAGGCTGCGCTGCAGCAAAAGAAAAAGAAAAAGAAGTGTGTCATTCTTTGAACTCACTTCTTTAATCGGTCTTGCTCTCGTATAAGGCATGAAAACTAAATGGATTCGGAAAATGCACATTATTGTTTTAACGGAGAAGGAGAAGAGGTAGGAAGAAGAAATCACAATTATAAGACGAAACACAATTAATCAGATATTGATTAGCAGTCACTATTCCGCGGTTCTACGTTATCAATAATGATTCTCTTACCACTGGTCAATTATTTATTGATGATCGGAATAGCAAACCTCCAAAAAGGAATGAAGTATCATTTGTTCTATATTTTTAATTATTTATTATCATTCTCTAAATTAAAAAAAGAAAAACCATTCCAACGGTGAGCTTCACTTCAACTTAAACATAGCGCGACGTTTTTTTGTCAGTTTTCTTTGATGTTATTACTTAAAATTTTTCACTCTTGTCTGACTTTGATATATTGATGTGTGCTCTGCCTAATTTTACACCATTATTCATTATTATTATCGTTATTTCTGTTGCTGTTTCTTGAAATCCAGAAAACATTCTTCATATTGTTAAGATGAAAATAAAATTATTGTTATTTATAGGAATGTACAATAAATTAGTCGTTTCCAGTTTATGCGTGTGTTTTTTCTTGTAAAGCAGATCTTCAACTAAGCATTAGTTCAAAAATTTTAATAAGTATTTCTTAATTGACACAAGCAAATATAATTCATATTTCATGTAGTATCGGGATCTACCTTATTGATTTTACCTAAAATATATCCATGGACTGGTAATCTATTTCCTGGACAATGAATGTGATCAGATTGTAAATAATGGAGAGAAGGTAGAAGGGGGGAGTGGTTCTATCTTCCACAAATCGCTTTGTAGAATTATATAATGCTAGAAAAATATATGGATCTTAAAGAAAACGTTCAGATGATGGTGATGAGTTATTTACAGCTGATATAAAAGATGAAAAACGATGATATTTCCGGGAAAGTGGTGGAGCAGCTGTGAAAATTTTTCAAAGTCCTTCAACAAATGCTTTGTGGAACGGCTCTTGTATTGGTCATTTCTTTTACCTCAGTACTGATTCCTTTCTTTTGTTGTTGAGCATAAAGGCTAAATTTTGTCTTTAATAATTTAAATTGAACCACGCAATCATTACTTAACCAAACAACTCTATTTATAAAACCTAGTTGATAACTTATTTTGCCATTGGAATAGAAAGAAACGGTTAAATATACGGTAGATTACAACTCTCATATGTTTATATTGTCATATAACCGAATCTTACTGAAAGCAAAACTGGCAGTTTTGCAGTCGCTATTGCTTTTCAATAGTTTGTGTTGACAATATAGCGAGATGCGTCACATCGATTCATTTGAACAGTTCTCGTGATTCTGAAGTGTTGCAGAAATATTTGTAGCTCTTAAATAGCGTATATAAAATGCAACCATTCGTTTATTTATTACGTATAATACGCTTTTCAATTATATATCGCTAATTGTTCCATTGAGAATAAGAATTTGTTTTTTTTTTTTTGTTTGGAAGCGTAGATTTTGTGCACTAAGATTTTACGCGGTATTCAGAATTTAGATAATGATAGTGACACATGTTAAAAAACTCTGAATGCTTATAGATATAATTCCATTTATCGAAATCTTGAAACCGAAATCTTAACATGAAATTATGGCGAAATAAATTATCACGAGATTCAGAAGCATCAATAACATGAGAATCAGTAATCAGCAGTAACTTCAATGACCAAAATTTTATTATTCTAATGGGCTAAAATTTTCGATATGTTTATAAAATTCTGGATAAATGGATAAGCCTCATGCAACATAAAAAATCATAGTAACCACAGATATTATGGCATTTGCAGTGAAGTCGCAAAGATCACAAACAATAAATTTTTTAATCAACATAGATTAATAATTTTGACATCAATAAGGCAGATCGAGCAATGCAAACCAAGTGGAAGATCTTTGTTAACAGCAATAAACCACAAGGATGAATCATTCAGAAAACTTGAGCGGTATTTATTCACCGAAATAATATCTGTCATTATAGTAATGCATTAAATGCTCCAAAACTTGATTGTTATAAAAATCAAAAAGAAAAAAAAGAGAGGAAAATATCAGAGTAAAGCATTGAAGAATGTGATCGGCAATTTATTCTGAGGGATTGACGAATTTTTCCATCTTTTTATTTCCATCAATGGGATTTTTTCATATTTTTAGTGTTACTGATATTGTTGCGAATGCTATTATTGTTGTCGCAGTAATTTTATGCTTTGTTGACAAGCGATTTATGATGTAAGCTCAAAATATAAATTAGAAAGGATAATATTTGTATGTCGACTGGAAAAGAAGTAAACGAGGTTAGGAAAGACTGAAGGATAGAATGGTAGGGAATTTCTAATATTCCTCAAGAAATCCTATTAGAAGATATCCCTCAATTTGCAATTCTCTCGTTTGTAATTACGAAATATCTTTTTTTTCTTTGTTATTCAATCATTTTTTTTATTTTGTTTTATTTAACAGACATTTCTTTTCCAAAATTATTACACAGAAACAGAAATGGTTGGTGGCTAGTTTTTGATCTTGCCCATATATGCTTTCATCTTTTTTCGCCTGTTTTTAAATCACAACTATGCAGTAAAATTTCTTACGCTTCTAATGAAATTTGAGAAAATTCCCATCTAAACAACTTACACTCTCCTCCCTTATTAATGCTTCCCCTTTCGTCACTCAATTTCATTTCATTTCAGTTTATTTTATTTCATCTTTTCTTCATTACTGATTTCCTACTGAAAAATCAAAATCAAAAACAACCACGAAATTGACGTCCCATTCTCTATGCCTGTTATTTTAATCTTTCCTTTCGTGTAAACAGTGAACGATTATTGATGTATCGAACATAACGATCAAAAGATTGATTATCGCTATCCTAGTCTTTTTTGTTTTTTAATTCCTTGAGATATAATTAAAAAAAAATATTGCAGGATATTAAGACAGGAGAAGACGATAATTAAAAATCTTATAACAAATTTTCTTTTTCTGATTGACCGCAACAGTGTTTACAATTTCCATTCATTGCATATGAAAACTGAAAATTTTCTTTCATACTATCTGTAAAAAAAAATGTCTTGACCTAGCAAGCATAGTAAATAAAAGACGTTTACATGAGGTCATTTGGCAAATCTTCGTCATGCTAGAAGTGTGATCAATATTTCTGATATGTAATCATGTCCAATTACTGATACGATCTTCTTTAAAACTAAACTAAACCATTTAAAACAATTTTTGAAATAAGTTTCTATTCCTTCTCGTATCCTCTTTTCCATTCTTATCTAATAAAACATTCTTCTAAATGCTATTTTTTCCATCAAGACGTATCATTAATTTTCTTTCCAATGTTCTCGGGCAGCTATTTTTTCCTTAGTTTTCACAGCAATCTTCGAAGTTTGATCGATTTAAAATTTTCTTCTTTTTGTTTTATATCCGTAACTTTACAGCCATGGAAACATTACATTAAACGACCTCATCTAAAATTTTATTATTTCTTTCAATATTACTATGAGGCATCATACATCTACAATTACTATCTCTTTTCATTTCAAAGAAATCATCCAACAAATTATGGCATTATATTAAAAAAATTCTTTTTTCATTATCGCTGAACTTTTTAACTATTGATTTAATCTTCTTGATTTGGAGCATACTAATATATGCTATCTTAGCTAATTTTGCTTAATTGCAATTTCATGATATTTAATTCGAGAGGAAATGGAGCAAAATTTAATACTGTTATTTGAAAGCTCATTATCATTTATGGCTAGTTGGTAAAGAAAAGAAAGAAAATTAAAAATTAGATGGAAGAAGAAGAAGAAGAGAAATGGAAAAGAAGAAGGTAATAAAGAATTCAACAGGAAATACAATTGTTTATGTATTAATACGACTCTAATCTGAAACTAATCTTCCCATTTTGCTATCTAACGAATTCCATAATTTAAATTCTAGCAATTTTACAAATTTTCCATTTTTCACGCCTTCATCTAGAATTCATTGTTTTTACTGCTTTCCAAGCTCTTACACTCATCCATTTTATTTCATCACCACTCATCTATTCCTTAACTTTCCTTAAAATATTATGAACTAATTAATGAAGAAGTAAATTCAATATTGACATTTCAAATAAGGATTACCGATAAATCAGTAATAACTCACTAAAATTTTACAAATGAGTCATTAATTTTTTTTCCCTAATTTTTATTTAAATAACCTTAAACAATCGTATTTTATACTATGTAAATGTACGCATTAAAATTTCAATCGTGGATTATGGGATTTTTAATTGTTCAGATTTACAGTCAATACTTGATTTATAACTTTTTACATTTATTATTTTTTTTTGCGGATTCCACAAATATTGATTGCTTGAAATAATTCTCACCTTTATAAAGTTCGGAATTCTCAAGGCTATGTTATAGAAAAATTCAAGGCATCTTTCTAATACGCATATAGACGACTATGATAGGACTTCTACTTTACAGGAACATCGAACTCCAACAATTTTGTAGAGGGAAAATCATCGACACTCAGAATCGGTATGGCAGCGATTCGAAAGAAATTAGTTATTGTCGGCGATGGAGCATGTGGTACTGCTCACTGTTATTTATTTTTTAAAAATTTAAAAATTAAAGAAGATAGAACTTTTACATGAAAGCAAAATAATACCATTGCATATCAAAGAAATTTCGTTCAATTAAATTAGCATAAATCTGAAGGAAAGAAGCTGCAGAATTTTCTTATTACATTCGTACCACTGCCAGACTTTTGCTTGGCATTTTTCTGGATTACAAGCTCCTACATTTATTGACATCAACAATTCTAATTCTTTATCAAGTAAAAAAAAAGGTAAGAGTGTTAAGCTGAAATTTCCGGAATTATATGAGATCATAGTTTAGACGAAAGCGAAGAGATTAACGATGGTATGGAAATTGCAGAAAGACAGTCTGAGACATCATTTTTGTCCCTTTTCATAACTTTATCAATGGATTCTAAATTCTACCATTTAAAAAAGATTCCTTTACAATCCTCTCCACTTTCTCTCATTCTTTTAATTTCTGGCAATATTTAAGTATTTTTGTTTAGTTATAATTTCAATAGTCGAGTCAAACCAATTTTTCAAATATTGCATTGCTTTTTTTAACCATATGTTAAGCTGAACCAAAAAAGTTGATTTATATCTTTGTAATTGTTTGATTTCATACTCATAATTCTGAGCTGGATATTCCATAACTGAAATTTATTCTTTAACTGTTATTCATGCGAACATTGTAAATTCATTAGTAGAAGTTTTTCAATAAATTTCAGTTGTTTAGGTGCAATGATCATCATTTGCAGTCATTAATAAGTTGATGACTATAAATAAATAAGAAATTTAATTATAAGCAAAAATCTTTGACGTCACTTTGTTAAAAATCTCAACGCTTTAATTTATTACAAATTATTCAAAAACTGAATTATCAAAGAATTAGATTTAATTATTTAAGCAAACGATTGAAGTTGTTATTGCAGCAAAAAGAATTTTATCCATTGCAACCACCCTATCAATTTCTCTAAACTTTTCTTAAACCAAAATAATTCGAAATCAGAAAAAATGATTCAACTATTGATATTTAAAAAAAGAGAAGAAAGAAATTACGTTTTTTATATGTTTTTTTTTTCGAATTTTCAAAAATTTAATTGAAATTTTTTCCTTTTAGAATGAAAAGAAAAACGCCAAAAAGTTAGGACAAATTTGCTTTTTGTGCAATTTATTCCATTTAGTTTATGGTTATTTTGTCGAAAACAAAAATATATTCCATGTACAACGTAAAGGGTACGTGGATGATGTGATATGTCAAAGCATAACTGGTGTAAAATATCTAAAGGATTAAAATTTTAGAAAAAAGAAATATGAATGAGTACATTGCTGTTCATTTACTATTTTAGCGTTATCATGGAATTTTTGTAATTATTTTTCATTTTATCAAAATTTAGAACATTGAAAAATTATATTTGTTTGAAAATAATAAAAACTGGGTAATTTTTAGGAAAAACTTGCTTATTGATTGTATTCAGTAAAGATCAATTTCCGGATGTTTATGTACCAACAGTATTTGAAAACTATGTTGCTGATATTGAAGTTGATGGCAAACAGGTAAGTTTTATATTAAAAATTATAAATGATAGCCTTTTGTTCACATTTGTTTTGCTTTTCTAATTTTGAAATATGCTCATGATGTTAACTAATTTTGAAATTATGAAATGACAAGTCAGTACTGAAATCTTATGTAAGTCAAGGTAGAATTGGCTCTATGGGATACAGCGGGTCAAGAAGATTACGATCGATTGAGACCATTAAGTTATCCAGATACTGATGTGATATTAATGTGCTTTAGTATTGATTCACCGGATTCATTGGAAAATATTCCGGAAAAATGGACTCCTGAGGTTACATTTTATCAATCAATTCGTACTGTATCAATTCAAAAATTTATTCCGGAAGCAGCATAGGTTTGGATAACACGTAAATTTGAAATATTTAAAAAGATTTATCTTTTAAAAAGATAGATAAATTTCCGATGCTAATATAACCCAATTGTTCATTAATCTTTTATTTCTCTAGTCTTTTAATTGCTCAAATTTCGAGTGCAAATACTCATTAATTTTCCCGATTATTCACTCAGTTAATTGCCTCCTCAGTTAATTATTTATCCACTTAATTGCATTTTTATATGTTGTTGATTGTCATTCTTCTACGAGCTTTACATCGGCAAGTAGTAATCACTTCAAAATTCGGGATCAAATGTTGTTATTAAAGAATCTGGAAAGGAATTATAGGTTCGACACTTTTGTCCCAATGTTCCGATAATACTAGTAGGTAACAAAAAGGATTTACGGAGTGATGTACAAACTGTTCGTGAATTACAAAAAATGAAACAGGAACCGGTGAAATATGAACAAGGAAAAGCAATGGCTGATCAGATCGGTGCTGCGTCTTATATCGAATGCTCTGCCAAAACTAAAGATGTTTCGCTTTCTTTTTTTTTTCTTCATTTCTTTTTTATTGATTAAAAATTTAAAAAAAAAATTACAATAATTATAGTTAAAAATTAATCATTATGGTTATTAGTAGTTAAGGTTTATTGTTAATGTGCTTTTATCATAAAGGCATATTAATGCACTGATAAGAGAATCAATATACCATTATCGCCACTGTCAGTTACATGCTTCAAAATATATACTATGTTCTATACTAAACTGAATTTGAAATTGCATTTAACGTTAAAAATATGTCGTTTTAATTTATGAAAATTTCAATTAAACATGTTTAAGGGTGTACGCGAAGTATTCGAAATAGCTACTCGTGCTGCCTTAGCAGCAAAAAGGAAGAAAAAACACAAATGTGTTATGCTTTAAAATTATTTCCATATATTCGTTTGATGCATATTTATCATGTACTCACATTTTTATGATAATTTTACTTGAAATTTAATTAATAGACTTCATCTGAGCTTGGAATAATGGTCTCTTTTCTTTTTCTTCTCTATTTCAAAGCAAAAAATGATGCAATTAAAGGTTCAGAAATTAAAGAATAAAAATAGCATAAGCGGAAAAAATAAGAGTCTAAAACGATATTCGATATTCATGTAAGACATTATTGGATTCCAATGGCTGACTCTCCAAGCATTCAGGATAATGAGCAAAATACTAAATTAGAATCTAATCAACTAATTTAATCCATTACTTAATTAAGTGGTTTAACTATAAGTTGCTCTATCTATAATGAATATTGGCAATATTTAAATATGCTTGTGTTGCATTTTTGATGCAACTTTAACTATACGATATTAAATTTAATTGTATTCTGGAATATAACTTTTATAAAATTTCGAAATATCTTGCTCATTATGTGATATATTTATAAATTTCCAAATGAATAAAGCTCATTTATTTCACTGATTTTCGTATGTTTATTTCCTAAGGCTGCTCGGTGAATCGTAAATTACTTGAAGAGCTCTTCTTACCTCATCATTAATAGCTCGTAAATGCTTAATAAAATTCTCCGAAAAGATTTGCAGTTAGCATAAATCTTCGAATCGCAAATTAGGGAGAAGGCTAAATAACTACTGCGTTTACGTAAGAAATGTCATGTGCTCAGTAGTGTTACCGCACTTCAGTAATTAAAACTTCGTGATTATAATTATTAATTACTGCATTGATTTATCCTAAGTTAAAGCATCAAAACAAACTGTTTTCACATTCGATAAACACAAAATAACAAAAACACATGTTATAAATTTACTCCATTATAATGTTAGACAACAAAAAATATTTACTAAATATAGATTTTAGTCATAAACAGATTAATAATGAGATGAAGCCTCGAGAATTCGGAAGATGTGTAATATAGAAAGATTAATTTATCTGAGCAATATAAATTTTTCATTAACCTTTTTTCCTTGTGTTTGCAAAAATTTCCATTTATTTTTTCTTTCTTATTGACAGATTCATGTCAAGATTTAAAATAAAGAGTTTTTTTTTTTAAATAAAAAATTGAAATGCTGAAAAGAAAAAAAAAACCAACAATGGCATATCGATGATATATTCTTAAGGATGGCTTATTGAAATATTTGGTGAAATTTCGAACAATATGCGCAACTATGATTAAATAGCTTTTAGGAGAACTGGGAAATGCTCCATTCACAACTTGTTCTGAGATGTACAAATGGAAATGTTTTCCGTTTTTCGTTCTTTTTTTCCATTTACAATTCATTTAGTTTACAAAATTATGTTCAGAGGGAAAGATGGGGGTAAAACTGATTGAGTTGGGAGATTTCAAGAATTTCAAGATGGGCAAATTAATCGTAAAACAATAAGAATTTCGAAATCATAGTTATTCTGTTGTTTGCATTAGCATAAGCTAGTAATTAAAAGTAAAATGTATATTATTGTTTAGTGCTTTTGAAATGCATTATACTTAATAAAATTTGATCATGTTTTAGATTTTGTGACAGATATTATCTACGATATATCAGTTCGTCATTGTCTCTTTCAACTTTTGATGGTGACGTATTTCAGACTTATTTTGTATGAAGTGGTTGCTAGAAAAATTACTCGAGAATA